TATGTATGTATGTGTGCATGCATGCATGCATGCATGCATGCATGCATGCATGCATGCATGATGGATGGATGGATGGATGGATGATGGATGATGTATGTATGCATGTATATGTATGTATGTATGTATGTATATATGTATGTATGCATGTAATATATGTATGTATATTTATATGTATATATAATATATATATATATATTATATATATATGTATATATAATATATATATATATATATATATATATATATATATATATATATATATATATATTCACACCGGGCTACAGGGCCGGGGGCTCCCTGGCCAGGACCGCAACCCCCCATGGGGGGATCGGGCCTCCGGGAGCGCCCTTGTCCCGCCCAAGAGTGCCCCAAGAGCGCTCCGCGACAAGCCCAGCAGGCTCCAAAGGACCCATGAGGGCGCCAAGAGGGCCCCAGGATGCCCACGATAAGCCCAAGACGGCCAAAGAGGCTCCCAAGACGCTCCAAGAGGCCTCCAAGAGGTCCCCCCAGAGAGCCCACAGAGGCCAAAATCGTGCATTTTACGACAGTTTTGGACACATTTTGCCTTTCCCGCCTTTTCAGCTCTCCGACGCTCCACGACGGCTCACAGGCCTCCCGCAGACGCCCCAAGACAGCCCAAGAGGCCTCCAAGAGGGCCTCAAGACGGCTCTGGAGGGCCCCAAGACGGCCCAAGACGCGCCCAAGACGGGCGAAGAGAGGACCAAGACGGCCCCAAGAGGGCTCCAAGAGGGGAGCCGCGAACCGGAAATTCGAGCCTCCCGCCTCCACAGGGCCCCGGGAGGCCCCAAAGGGGCGCCAAGAGGCCCCAGGAGACCCCCAAGATAAACCCAAGACGGCCAAAGAGGCCCCGAAGACGCTGCAAGAGGCCTCCAAGAGGCCGCCCCCCCAGAGGGCCCCAAGAGGCCCAAATAGTGCCTTTTACGAAGGTTTTGGATACATTTTGCCTCCCGCCTTTTCAGCTCTCCGACGCTCCACGACGGCTCACAGGCCTCCCGCAGACGCTCCAAGACAGCCCAAGAGGCCTCCAAGAGGGCCTCAAGACGGCTCTGGAGGGCGCCAAGACGGCCCAAGACGCGCCCAAGACGGGCGAAGAGAGGTCCAAGACGGCCCCAAGAGGGCCCCAAGAGGGGAACCGCGAACCGGAAATTCGAGCCGGGCCCCAAGAGGCCCCAGGAGACCCCCAAGATAACCCCAAGACGGCCAAAGAGGCCCCGAAGACGCTGCAAGAGGCCTCCAAGAGGCCGCCCCCCCAGAGGGCCCCAAGAGGCCAAAATCGCTAATTTTACAAAGGTTTTGGATACATTTTGCCTTTCCCGCCTTTTCAGCTTTCCGACGCTCCACGACGGCTCACAGGCCCCCCGCGGACGCCCCAAGACGGCCCAAGAGGCCCCCAAGAGGCCCTCAAGACGGCCCTGGAGGGCCCCAAGACGGCCCAAGACGCGCCCAAGACGGGCGAAGAGAGGCCCAAGACGGCACCAAGAGGGCTCCAAGGGGGGAACCGCGAACCGGAAATTCGAGCCTCCCGCCTCCACAGGGCCCCGGGAGGCCCCAAAGGGGACACAAGAGGCCCCAGGAGACCCCCCAGAGGCACCCAGGAGGCCCGAACGAGGCTTCACGAGGCTTCCAAACAGCCCCGAGGAACCTTACAACGGACGGTGCGGACGAGCCGATTTTCGGACCGCCGCCGCCGCCGGTCCAAGAAATCGCCCTCCTGGACGCCATGCGCGCCGTGGCCCTCCTGCGGTCGCACATCCCGCCCCGGGCCAGCGCAGAGGCCCTCGGATCCCAGAGAGAATTCTCCGTCGTCGGCGGTGTCGCCGTCGTCGGAGTCGTCGTCGTCGACGCCGTCCCCGCCCCGGTCGCCCCTCGGGACCGCGCTCGCCCCTTCGACTTCTCGGCTCGCCTCCCGCCGATGTTCTTGTCGCCCTTCGACTTTCGGAGGCTCCTCCGGGGGTCCTGGGTCCAGTGCTCCGGCCTCTCCAGAGCGCTTCAAGTGGCCGAAACCGTCAATTTTTCAAAGGTTTTGGAGAGATTTAGCCTTTTCGGCTGTCCGACGTTCCAAGACGGCCCAATAGGCCCCCAAGAGCGCCCAAAGACGGCCCAAGAGGGCCCCCAGACGACCCCAGAGGCGCCCAAGACAGCCCAAGAGAGCCCCAAGACGGCCCTAAGATGCGCCCAAGAGGGGACCACGAATCCAAAATTCGACCCTCCCGCTTGAAGAGTGCCCCAAGGAGCCCCCAAGAGGCCCCAGGAGGCCCCCGAGAGGCACCGAGGAGGCCCAAACGAGGCTTCAAAAGGCCACAAAACAGCTCCGAGGAGGCCCCACTACGGCCCCAAAACGGTCACCGAGAAGATGCGAAACTGCGTTCACGACGTTCCCGACAGGCCAACCACGAGATCCAAACCAACACCCATGAGGCCTCTGACCCACCACCTAGGGCACCCGCCGCCCGTTCGCCGTCCGCGTAGCACGCACCGCTCTGTACTCAACAGCTTCAGTCTCCAAGACAACACCCTGTAGTCAACAGCCCCCGTCTTCAAGGCAACACCCTGTGCTCAACAAGCTCCCGCTTCAAGAGAGCACCCTTAAGGAATTCATTCAAATCCCGACCCGCCCGCCCGCCCGCCACCCGCCCGCCCGCCGCCCGCCTGGCCGCTCGCCCGCCTTCCGCGTAGCACGCGCCACCCTGCACTCAACAGCCTCCGCCTCCAAGACAACACCTAGCATTCAACAGCCCCCAGCGCTCCCAGGACTGCCCAGGTCTGCTCCCAAACGCGCCACGACACGCCAAGAGGGCCCTAAAGCTTGCCAAGACAGCCTCAAGAGGCCCCGGACACGCCGAAGATGGCCTCAGGACGGCCGACGACGCCGCCAAAACGCCCCAAGAGCGCCTCCAGAGGCCCCTCCACAGGGCCCCGCATTTTTGCGCTATCGCATGTTCCGCCTCCCCACGGTCCCGGACGGCGTCAGAGGCCGTTCAGATCGCTCCAAGACGGCCGAAGAGGCTCCCAAGAAAGACCAGAGACGGCCCAGGAGGCTCCCTAGATACTTCAACAGGGCTTCGAGAGCGCCCCAAGAGAGCCCCAAGAGCGACCCAAGAGGGCCCGAAGAGCGCGACATTTCAAGGTCTCCAGCCCGAGAGGCTCCTAGGACGCCCCCGGAGGCCATCAAGAGGCTCCCAAGAAGCCCCGTGAGGCTCCCAAGAAGGCCCCCGGAAGCCCCAATGAGTTCCCAAGGGGCCCCAGGGAGGCCCCCTGCGGGCCCCCAAGAGACTTCGGTAAATCGTATTTCCCAGAGCTTTCCGTGAGCATGATTCCTTGAGCTTCCGTCCACCGCCCCAACCATGTTTCCAATAGGCTTGCCGACCAGGCCAAAAAGGGCCCCTCGGTAAGCCCCCAGAGGCCCCCCTGTTAGGAGAGCCGAACAAATCGTGTTCCCGGAAAGCTTCCCGGGAACATGATTCTCGGTTTGCCGCTTTCTCCCCAAACCATGTTCCCTAAATGCCCGCCAGGATAAAAACACGAGAGCCCCAAGCAGCGCTACCTGCCGTCACGCTCGGAAACGCGTCAGGTTCCGAAGCCTCCGGAGGCGCCCAACGACACCCCAACAAATCATGTTCCCAGGAAGTCTTACGGTCAGTGCCGCCGACGTTGAAGGAGGACGGTCCAGGACAGAAATCTCCCAAACAGGCTTCCAAGAGGGCGCCGAGACAGCCCAGGGCCGCCCCCACACGGCCCAAGAAAGCCCCAACACAAACGAAAAGGGCCGCAAGAGGCCCCCAGGAGGCTCCGAAACGAGGACATATCGTTCGAACGCGCCCAAGAAGGCCCCCAGACGGCCCACAAGGCTTCCAACACGGCCCAAAGGGACGCCAAAATCATTGATTGTCCTTCGATTTTTGATGGATTTCAGACACCCCACGAGGGCGCCGAGACGGCCCACGAGGGCGCCGAGACGGCCCAGGGACGCCCTGCCGCGGGCACGAGGTGGGGCCCGGGATGGGGCCCTCGCGCCGGGAGGCCCGGAGGCCCTGCCGTGGCGCTGGGGGCCTTGTAAAGTCGCCAGAAGACGGCCCTAGATTGCCAGAAATGGCGTTTCCAGACAACGAACACGACCAACGACCGCCCGAGATCACCCCAGAATTGGTCCCTGACTGTCCAAGAGGCTTCCAAGACGCCCCAAGAGGTCTCCAAGATGGCTCCCAAGGAGCCCCAGGAGGCACAACTAATTTGTTTTCCTTTGGTTTTTGATCGATTTTCGAGTTCTCGCCTTTGAGTTTCCTGACGCCCCACGACGGCCCAAGAGGCTTCAATTTCCGCTCCAAGGCATCCCCAGAGGCCTCGAAGACGGTCTCAAGACAGCCCACGGGGGTCCCAAGACGGCGCTAGAGGCGTCCAAGGCGGAGCGAGAGGGCCCCAACACGGCCCCAAGATGGAGGGTTGACACGACCCGAAAATCCGAGTCTTCCATCCCGAGAGGCTCTCAGGAGGCCCCGAGAAGCCCTGACAGGCTCCAAGAGGCCCCAAGAAGCCCCCCCAGGGGGCCGAAGCGTATCCAAGAGGCCTCCCACGAAGGCCCCAAGAGGCACAAATCCATGTCTTGCCGTAGATGTTTGATTGATGTTCGAATTTTCAGCCTTTTGGGGTCCTGACGCTCCAAGACGGCCCAAAAGGCCTCCAAGACCAATCCAAGATAGCCCACGAGGCCTCCAACAGGGCCAAGACAGCCCGAGAAGGCACCAATACGGCCCCAAGGGGGGCCCAAGAGGGGTAAGACGAACCGAAAATCCGAGCCTTCCACCCCGAGAGGCTCTCAGGAAGCCCCAGAGGCCCCCAAATGGGACCCAAGAGGCCCTCAAGAAGCTCCCCAGAAGGCCGAAAAGGTTCCAAGACTTGTAATCTTATTGATGTGTTTTCTCAGTGGCCTTGTGTAGCATACCGTCATGTGCCAACTTCCAGTGCAGCATTCCGTACTTGTGATGGCTCAAAGATCTGATATGTGGGCGTACCTTCCGGCCTTGCTCGCCGCCGCCAGAGATTTCACCACTCTGGGCTTGCACTGGCAGACTGCTGCCGCGGATGCACAGTGCCCGAGCTTGCCCGCGATCCCGGCCTGTCCTGAGCTGGTCTGCGCGACTGGGCCGACCTGCCCAGCGGCGCAATGCGAGTGCGCGTGCCCGGTCCAGGAGCCGGGCTACTGGCTGCTGCTGGCGGGGGCTGGGGTGGCGACGGCCGCGGGGCTGGCCGGCCTGTGCCTGGGGGCGGGCGTGAGCTACGCGCTCGGCCGCATCGCATGCCCCCGGGCTGCGAGCCGATCCGCCGTTGGCGCCGCCGCGCCAGCCGTGGGCGACGCCGTCTCGACCGAGGCGAGAGCGCTGGTGATCACCCCGTCCTCGCGACGAGATGGCGGCCCAGCCGCGGGCGCTTGATATCAGAGAGCCGCAGACAGTCGTTCACTTTGATGCGGATCCATTGCCTTGGCATCACAGAGTTCTGCTTCATCATCTGGGTGATGGCGCTTGGCTGTGCCTGACGCCAGACACGGAGATCACCCGCCACGATCTGAATTCTCTTCGTCCTTATGTCTTGGATCGTGGCGCCCTCTTCCCCGCGTGGGCGTTGGCTGGACTGTACTCGTTCGACCCTGTGGGTCCAGGGGAGCTGGCCGAGATGAAGCGCCAGGCGAGACAGCGAGCAGCGCTGCTCGGAGCTGGCGACGCGCTGGAGGAGGAGGCGCAGGTATGGGTGATCAGTGATCCGCGTGATGCTCGGTTCGGCGAAGTGCTGGATGAGCAGGCGGTAGAGAACCCAGCCAGGCGTGTGCACTTGCGTCGGATGGGTGTGATCTCTCTGGACGGCACAGAGCGGACGATCGTGAAGATCGGTCGCGAAGAGCGGGGCGATTGGATGGGGGACCAGCGTGAGGGCGTTGTGGACATCCGGCTGTTCGGGGACCACCGCTCGAAGTTGGGCCGTCGCGACGTCGACTTTCGTGACGCCGTCGAGATGATGGAGCAGGTTGAGCTGGCGGACAGTCCAGACATCGGTCCTCGTGCGATGGGTGAGTACTTGACGCGTGTTGCCGTCGGCACAGGAAACTTGACGGCCTACCAGGCTGAGTGGCCGAGGCTGAGCGGCGTCTTCGCGGGAGAAGCTCAGAACCATGAGCATCGTGTCCTTTTGGAGATCATTCGCCGCGCGATCTGCCTCGACCAGCTGAATGTTAAGAACCTCCACTGCATGGAGGCGGCGGTGCGTCGGGCCATGCAGATTGAGATGGTGGTGGCCAGGCATCCTCGGCATCCCGACTTCTCGGGGCTCGAGGATATCATCTCAGGCCCGACGCAGTCGTCTGGATCAGCATCGGTGCCGAAGTACCTGGAGCACGTGGTTGCTCGCCAGAAGGACCGTGCGAACATCCTGAAGCAGATGCGATGGCATAAGGAAGAGCTGGAGCGGGTTCGACCTGGCAGCGACGACAAGGATAAGCGACGTCGCGCTGAGAAGGGTGACAAAAAGGGCAAGAAGCAAGAAGGGCGAGAGGAGCACCCCCCCAGGAGGCTCTGGGGGGGAGGGGGGATGACGCCCCCGCTGAGCGCTCATCAGCAGGGCCCCCCAGCCGGGCCCGAGGACGATGGGCGCCCCCTGAGTGGAGTGCGAGGCCAGCCCAAGTGCGACTGGTGACTGGTGGCCTCGCGGCCAGTGGCTCCACAACGACCCCTTCCCGTTGCCCGTGGCGGAGGTCGAGGCGAGGCCCGTGGGGGCCCCGCGCTCTACCGCGCGGCGGTGGAGGGTCAGGTCTGAGAGGCAGCGGCGAGTTTCTGAAGCAGTTGAGATGCTCAACTACCTCGCCGCCCCACGTGTGAATTCAGGATGCGACAAAGCTCGAAGTGTTAGGCCGCATGGAGGTGCCCCGACAGCAGTGCAGCGCAGCGTGCTAGAGTCGGTCCAGGAGTGGGTCGGCTTCTTCGGGGGCCCTCCTTGCGAAGCGGTGGACGGCGAGAGGTCCCTCCGGGAGATCCTCTTACCCACTGACCAGTACGAACTGGAGCCGCAGCATTTGGCCAGCTACGACGTCACGCGCTTGCGGGTGTGCAAGGGGGACATCCGCCCAGTGCCCGTGGCTGAGTTGCTGCCCGCCGAGGCGGCAGTTTTTTTGCGACACTTTCGAAGCCAAATAGAGCTCACTGCGTCCGAGGCGGCAGATCGGATCCAGCAGGCTGGTGGACTTCCAGAGCCTTCCTGGGATCCAGTGCTGCGAGGCGACGCTGAGCTGCGACGTGACTTTTTTCGCCGACTTGCTAAGATCGGCATCGTGGGCTTTCGGCGGGTCATCGAGTTCCGCTGTGGCGCTTTCGTGCATAAGAAGGACGGCGACATTCGTTTCATCTGCGATGCGAGGGCGACTAACATGTGTCATCGCCCCCCGCCTCGGACAGCGTTGGGAGGGGCAGCTAGCCTCTCGGAGATCGACCTGAGCAGCTATGCGACGTCGCTCGGGGGCTCTGGTGGCGTGTGCGAGCCCCGCTTCTCCTGGGCCGATGTCAAGGACTGCTTCTACCAGCTCGCCAACGAAGAGATGGGCAGCTGGTTCGGGTTCGACTCGCCGCTGACCGTCGAGGAGTGGGACCTCGACCTCCAGCGGGTCTGGGACGACGAGGTGGGCGGCTGGACGCCCGCGCGGCCAGGGGAACTACTCTTCCCTTGCCTCCGCGTCCTGCCCATGGGGTTGGGCCTGGGCTCTCTACTTTGCTCAGGAGGTCGTCTCGCATCACGTTCGACAATCCTGTGTTGATGGTGATCGTCAGCTGCTTCGTGACAAGCGTCCTGCCCCACTGCTTCGGCCAGGCAAGCCGCTCGCCGCCGTGTGCGTGGGCAACTTCACGGGCGTCGGCGGCTCGGCGGCGGACGCCCGGGAGGGCGTGGAGGCCTTCCATGGGCAGGCGGCCGAGGCTGGGCTGGGGCTGCACGCGGCCGAGGTCGCGGTGGAGGAGCTCGAGAGCCTGGGCCTGGTGCTGTTCAGTGCCGACCGCCGTGTGCGTCAGAAGCCGCGGCGGGTGTGGCGTTTCTACTTCGCCACGAAGGCGCTGCTGAGGCGTGGGCGGGCCAGCGGCGCCGAGCTCAGGACCTGGGCTGGGCGTGCCGTGTCGCTCCTCGGGCTTCAGCCGTGCCTCCTCTCCATCCTGCAAGAGGTCTACCACTTCATCGGCGACGGCAGTCGGCGACGCATGGCTTTCCCAAAGCTGGTGCGGGGCGAGCTCCGCATGGCAGCGATCGCCGTCTTCCTGACCGAGGTGGGCCTGGGCGCCCCCCTGTCCGACGAGGTGCGCGTCTCTGACTCCTCGACGGGCGGCTTCTGCCTGATGTACGGGAAGAAGCCGCTGCGGGCCGTGTGGGGCGCCTGTCGCTGGCGCGAGCGCTGGCGCTTCGTGGAGGTGGAGGCGGAGGTGAGCACGGGCGTCTACACCGCGGCCTACCTCAACCAGCTCCGTGGCGTCACAGACGGCTTCGGGTCCACGCTGGATGAGGGCGCTCCGAAGTTCCCCGACCCACACGTGCGCGGTGGCGCGCCTGCTCGTGCGTGGAGGGAGACGGCGCTGGGCCAGCTGCTCTTCCGCCGCGCGGGCGAGGCGCGAGGCCAGCGGCGCCGCTGGGTCGGGGTCCCGGCTCGAGGCCGAGAGATCGAGCTCCTGAACGTGCTGCCCGCCCTGCCGAAGGCTCTCACCGACGGCTCTGGGTGGACCGCCGCCGTCGAGGGCCGGTGGCGGTACGACGAACACATCAACGTGAAGGAGGGCAGGATCTGCGTGGCGGGCCTGCGGCGGTTCTGCCGCGTGAGAGCCAACCACGGACACCGTTGCCTTAGCCTTTGCGACAATCTCGTCTGCTGCTGTTGCTTTGACAAGGGCCGAGCACGGTCCCACGTTCTCAATTCACTGTGCCGAAAGGCGGCGGCCTACAGCGTGGGCTGCCGCGTGCGCTGGCGGGTCAGGCATGTCCCGACATATTTGAATGTCGCCGACGCAGGGTCTCGGAGGCACGAGGCGCCCGACCCTGAGTGGCTAAAGCAGAGAAAGAAGGAGCGGCAAGTCGTCGCCCCTTGCCTTCGACTGGCCTCGAGGTGGGTGGGTCCTCGTCCTCTTCGAGATGCTCATCGCCCAGAGAGTCCAAAGCATGTGCAGAGAGTACCTTCCAGGGCCCCACCACCTCGCAGGCCAGAGTTTTCTTGGAGCTGTTTGCGGGAGAGGCGGGGCTGACCTCTCCCGTCCGCGCTCCATTTGTCGGACAGCATCACCGTTCGACATCAAGCGAGGAGCCGAGTTCGGCCTGGCCCGGAGAATAACGCAGCAGTTGGTCCTGTCGTGGTTTCGTTCGGGAAAGATCTGGGCCGTACATTTCGGGACACCTTGTCGAGCCTGGAGTATCGCGCGTCGTGGAGTTCGGAACCTTCGTCGAGCTAGAATTTTGGAGCGTCTCGGGGTCGAGTTTGCTGTCTTCACTTCAGAAGTTGTTCGAGAATGTCAACGCTGTGGAGTTGGTTGGAGTATTGAAAAATCCCATGACCTCGGGCCTCTGGAGCTTCCCTCCAATTGGTCGCCTTGCGGGCCTCAAAGGTGCTCAGTGGATGCGATTCCCTATGTGTGCTTACGGCGCTCCGCATCAAAAGTGGACCCTGGTGCTCGCGAACATCCCGGAGCTGCGGGGCCTGTCGGCTCCCTGTACCCATCGTCGTCATGTACCTCTAGTGGGTAAAGCTCGGGCTCCTGATGGCTCTGGGGGTCACGTCTGGCGCAATCTCACGGCCCTGGCTGGTCAGTATCCGTCGGCTTTGTGCTCGAGCTGGGCATCGGTTCTGAGCGAGATTGCACTTCTGGCAGCACGGGGGCCTGATGTCCCCTGGGGCGGCGAGTGGCTCGCAGCTGCGCGGGCGCTGGTGCGGCTTCCTCAGCGCGCTGCTGGCAAGCCTCATGTACCGCCGCCGACGAAGCAGCGGGCTGCGACGCGGTGTGTCGGGCCGCCGATGCCTACCTCAGCCAGCACGGCGCCCCCTTCGGCACGGCGAGCGCCGCCGAGCGGGCGCGGCTCCGACGGCGTGGGGAGGCCCTCGACCTTCCAGTCGCCCCGCCGCTGGGTCTCGGCTAAGGCGAAGGCCAGCAGCCGACGGCGTCGTGCGGCCAGCGCCGGAGGCTCCAGAGTCGAGTACATGCGGCAGATGTCGGTGGCGGCCTTTACTCTGACGTTCTACCGTTCCGCCGTGGACTCGTTCGAGGAGTGGTGCCGAGAAGAAGGTAGGCAGTCTAACAGTACGCAGAGCGCTGATGAGAATATGGTGCGTTGGTTTTCCGGCATGTTCTTCGATGGCATGGGCCCGGGGACGGGTCGCAATGGTTTGTTTGGCTGGGTCTTGCTGCGAGGCGATCGTTTTCAGGATGGTCGCCAGCTTCTGCCCCGCGCCCGCCGTCAGCTGAAGGCCTGGGGGCGGGCAGATCCAGGCGCCATGGGGCTACCATGCCCGCTGGTGTTGGTGTATGCCATCGCTCTCGACCTGCTGAATCGGGGCTTGGTTCGCATGGCAGCGTGTGTCGTCTTACAGACCGACTTGTACTCCAGGCCCTCGGAGACGTTGACACTCTCGGAGGCTGACATCCTCCACAGTCAGCCCGCGGCTGGCCGTGCCTTTGCTGGCCGCTGGGCTGTGGTGTTCGCCCCCGGCGAGTCGGGGCGGCGGACCGAGACGGGTCAGGTGGACGATGCGGTCGACGTCGGAATCTGCGGTCGGGAGTGGGTCCGAGATGTGGCGTCGGCCCTCAAAGATTCGGTTCACCCCGGCCAGCGTGTCTTCGATTTCGACTTGCCCACCTATGAGAGACAGTTCAAGGTATCCCTCAAGCGCCAGAGGCTTCAGGCTGTCGGAGGATCGCCGCATTGGCTTCGGCGCTCAGGGCCCTCCAATGACAGATTCGAGGCAAAGTTAGATTTGCAGGCGATCCAAGAACGTGGCCGCTGGATCAGTTTCAAGAGTGTCACGCGTTATGAGAAGCATGCCGAGCTGTTGAAACAACTTGAGAGGTGTGATCCTGGCCAGATTCGAAACGCAAAGCACGCCGATACAGTCCTTCCTGAGCGGCTGTTGCACTCGCTTCGAGAGTTCTCGGTCTTGCGACCAGTCCCGAGGATATCGGGAGGTTTGGCCAAGAGATAGAGTTCAAAACGACAGGTCCAGAGGTAGCTGTCTCAGAATTCGAATTCAGTGTTGTGCTCGCCTGTCTTTCTGTCACCGTCTCGTTCGTCTGTGGAGAGATACTCTCGGGCCCCGCGGGGGCCCGGCTTTTTGCGTGTCTTCCGCTGTCAACCCT